AGCTCTTTTTTATATAGTACATACATATGTATGTATATATTTTATATCAACTGGATGAATCCATGAATGTTGAATAAAAAGCTAATTATACATAACTCAAATGAAGTAACAATGATTAAATACCAATGTCGAAAATATTTAACATACAAATGGAACAATCCAAATACATATAATATTCTGGATTGAAGTGAAAAAATTCTAAAATTCATTGAATAAAAGTCCGTTTCAAGAACATTACAAACTAAATAGTTTTTAGTTTTCTTGTTTTACCATTCTGTAGCGCTGAGGACGAGCGGATTTTTAGCGTAATGAAAATTTTTAAAGACTAAGCACAGAGACAGGATTAAAATAGAATAAAATATTCGGTTCTCTCTTAAAAAATTAGAAATTTATTGGCTTGATTTTGAAATCCCTCAAGATTCATCAGGAGAAGAGGACGAAATACTCTTTTCTAGGATACATCATGCAGTAAAAAATATGTGAAAAATTCAATGTGTAACAAATATCTACATTAAAATTGTTCGCAACGCACTATTTGCAATATAAAACACAGCAGAATATAAAAAACTTAAAAAAATTTGACTCTATCTAACTTCTTTTTAGTAGCATATGTAGGGTTCGAACGATACTATCGATATTGAGTAAGCATCGATATTGAGGGTATAAAAATGAATACTTTAATACTCGATACCTTATTTCGTGATTTTACTCGATACTTTGCAAAGTACTCGTTGTATCGAATACTTTTTAAAAAACACACTTTTTAAATTTTTTATTCCATTGGCAACCCAATTTTCTTTGCTTATATGGAATACTATCATTCAATTTTGTCCATCACTTAAGATAAACTGAAATTTCGTGTAGTCTGTTGCATAACATAAACCAAATAAGTTAAAGTTTAATAGCCTTATTCATAAAAAATAAGGTAGGTTTATAAACCTTTTATATTTTGTATGAATAAGGCCATAAAACTTTACACAAAGTTCACGAAAATGCAGAATTTTTAGAAACTTTTTGGGTATACAGTTTTCTAACCTATTCAACTTTACGTGTAGCCTACTACCGTTAACTTTTAATTCAAACTTACACATTATTATACTAAAATTGAATAGGCTACAAAAACGCATACCCAAAAAGTTTACAAAAATTCTTAATAAAATTTGAAATTTGTGAAAGTATATATATATATATATATGTATGTATGTATGCATGTACATTTATCGTTAAAATTACTTCCAACGTGAAAGTAAGTTCTGCAACAATGAAATATTTTAAATTTTCATTGTTTTAATTTCAGGAAATAACTAGATATACGATTGAAGAATAAAATAATTTTAGTATCCCAAAAAACGTATTTTAATGAGTCCGATACTGAGTAGTATCGATACTTTTTCCCTGATACTTTTAGAGTATCGATACCATGAACTCGATGCCAGAATGAGTACTCAGTATCGATACCAAAGTCTCAAATTTCGAACCCTAAGCCTATGGCTTTTTCTGGCTTTTTATTTAAGCTTATGTAGCTTTTTTAGTAACGTATTGTGGCAACACTTGTCATCACTCCTGCACGGCTAATCCCCACATATCCGTCGTCGCATCGTCACACAACCCAGTCTGGCCGGTTAGTTGCCTGGCTGACTCCCTAACCGATTCAAATGATACAGCATTGTGGCATCGATGGTGGTTGTTAGTGATGCTATAGCGCTGTTGTTGTAATTTGATGTGCTGCTGGCCTTAATGGAATTATCAAACATTTTAATAACAACTAAATAAAAACATATGCGCGACCACGAATATGACTTTGAATAAGCAATTCCAGGCGCGCATGTGCAAATGCTTCGTCAAAGGGTGACTGACGGGCGTAACATCGTCAGGGACAAGTGCGTGCGAACATATGTATGTATGTATTGCTTTGCTGCTGCATTCGAAAGCGTTAATTAAAATTGAAATCCCCACAAACAATCAGCGGTGTGCTGTCTGAAACTATTTTCACATTGTTATTAATATTTCACTTATTATTCTTTTTGGTGATGTGATGTTTATCAGCGGAGTAACAACAGTAGCAGTGACAGTCTACAACACCCTTCTACTAGCGCCCTCATAAGCCAGTTGTCAACAATGCAATACTATTCGACAACCAGGATCGTTATTAAAGCTGGCAGCCTTTGCCACAGGACATGTACTATTGTGTGATTGCCCAATGTGTGAATAATGTTGAGAGTAATTGTCAATATCAGTTACGTTCTTATATATGTATATGGATGGATGTATGTATATGTATGTGTTTATACGAACGCACAAATATACAAATGCCTTCACTAAGAGCAACAATACGTGTGGCATGTGGCAAGTCACGCGCGTTGCTTGCTATCAATTGCATGTTTGCGCTCGCTAATCGCCAATGATATTTGCTAAGCACAAACATTGCCCACAAACTACAACAACAAAAAAAAATATTGTATATATGTACATGGATTCATCACTTTTCAAAGGAGACTGTTAACAGCGCGTAGTGTAGCTGTGCAGCTGCTCATTTACCATGTCAGGATCAGCGACTGCAGCATCGCGATAAGGTTTTAGGCGTAAAAGTCAAATATGAGGTGCGTTCGTTTAAAATCTCCAACAGAAACCAACCAACTGCCAAATTCCGGCGAAATGTCATCTGTTCGCTCACAAGAGAGAAATATCCAAAATAGTACGCGAACAGAAAATTTGCAGAAACTTGCAAGTTAGACGAACAGCTGATATAATTTTTGTTTACATTCAAAAGTGTAAAATTTAAAACGTACGAAAACTCATTACAAAGTGGTATCCTGGCACAGTTTATTGATTAAACAAATAACTACTTACTTCTTACAAGTTTAATTAGTCGCATTTTGTAATTTTTAACTTCCAAACCATCAAATTCAATTTTGTGATTTGCGTAAATGCCAACCAGCTGTTTTTGATCAGCTGTTTTCCTGTTGGCAAATTGCTGTTGGCAAAAATTTTTCCAACAGAAACCAGCAGCTTCCCCTCAAAATGAAATGTCACTTTGCTCTCTCAATTTCCCCTACTTTGCAAGTTTTTTGCGTACGCGAACGCAAAAACTTGTAAGTTTTGGTTAAACATGAACAATTAACAGCTACGCGAACGAACCTATGTATGTACATTAAGGCGAGTCAATTTATATGGGAGATTTTTTTCGACTATAGGCGTATAGCATAGGTGGATTCTATGTGTAATTCTAAGCAAACTTGCCAAAGAAACCATGGGTCTAAAATCAATTTGGAGTTTGCCGAATTGCGAAAATATGTTTCTTTTACTTAGCATTTTGCTGTAGTGTCGTAAAGAAGTGCTTAACTGAGTTTTTTTGCAACGAAATAAAGAGAGTGGGAAAATAGCTTTCCACTGATACCACATAAGTCTAAATCGGAATAGTTTTGGCCCAGTTATTCAAGTTTTTCTTAAACAAATCTTTGAAACAAGTTAAAAAACAGCATCAAAAATCTCATTATTACGATCCCGTTGAAAATATTTGTATGCATATTTTTTGAGCTTAAACTGTCATCTGAGGGGATTTTTTCAAAAAGTTCTTTAAAAATCTATTTTTGTGCATAAAAAACCCCATTTTTGAAGGTATTTTCAAATCGGTCCAGCCCACCTGATAACCAGGCAAGTGTGAACAACCACAATAACATTTTTCCGAAATATTTTGGTGGACGTGTTGAAATATAATAAATTTTGTAATCCCGGCGGAAAAACCGCAACTTTTTTTGTGATGCAGTTGTGCCCTTTGGAGGATGTTTTAGGAAAAATATAAGTCCATAAACCTCTTACACCGTGCGACTAAAACAAAAAAAATCAAAACACTCCAAATAATCAATATATTCACGAAACTATGGGCCAAAGATAGTAAAACTGGGTTTTTAGTTTTCCACTTCGACGTCAGGATTTTTTTTTCAAAGGACTTTGAAATTTTAAAGATATGATTAATTCAAAAAATCGGGCACGTTCAGAAGGCGCAACAGCTCAGTAACTGTTGCGATTGCACCTTCTGAACGGTTGCGTGTTAAATGATCGTAATATTTTTCTGATCATGTGAGACAACATGTGTGTTGTTGAATTTGACAGCGAATGCATCAAACCGTTCAGAAGACGCATTACGATCACCGATTTTTTTAGCAACGGTTGCGCTCAACTGCTGCGCCTTCTGAACCTACCCATTATTTAAAAAAATCAGTGTATTGAAAATGCTCTTTTAATTTTATCTTTTTAAGCTAATAAAGTTTGCAGGAGGAAATTCGATGATGAGGTCGTGCATATATTAGTCCTCAAACAATAATTAGAAAACACATATTCCAAATTTTCAAGGATATTTAAGGAAAAAATTTGTAAAGGACATTTTCCGTACCCATTCGTCCTTATGCACCAAAAAATTTATTCTGTTATAATTCTATAGAATTTTTTCTTTTATATGATACCTTTATTGTTATCTTACATTGCACTGAATTTGTCCAATAATTTTTTTAAATAATGATCCTGGCGGTAGAGAGAAAAACTAAGTACGCAGTTTTACTATAAGTTACCCATAGTTTCGCGAATATATTCATTTTTTTGTGTGCACAATTTACCGTCGCACGGTGTTAAAGCATGCTTTTATACAAAATTTAAGATCTTCTTTACGGCACTACAGCAAAATTATAAGTAAAATAAACCTATTTTCGCAAATCGGCAAGCTCCAAATTGATTTTAGACCCATGGATTCTTCGGAAAATCTGGTTAGAATTACACGTAGAATCCTTCCATGCTATACGCCTATAGTCGAAAAAATTGCCCCGCCCTAATTTACATAACGCAAGATAAATGTACAAATGTCGAATATTAAATGTTGTTCGATTGAATAGCTTGGCGAATCGCACACTGTTTTCCACTTTTAACAGATTTCTCACGCTCATTCCTACGTGTACTAAGTTCCCTAGAATTCTATGCGTTCTGAAATTATTATATTTTCCACTCACCATTATCACGCTCGCTCTTATCATCCCCATGCAGTGATCCACTCGTGGCACATAACGCGCCCGCATCCGCTCCATTGACAAAGCCATCGCTGAGGTGTATTGGTGTACGCGGCCGGCCATCGATGGTTATTTCTTCGCCGGCATTTATATCACGATTTGTTTCATACCAAAGCTGTGTGGGTAAAAGTAACTTAATTAAGATTTTAAGAGTATAAATTAATTGTTAACTACATTTATGAAGTAATTAAAAATTATTCCTGTTGATTGCCAAAAGAATATTTCACTCACATATCCTGCCAAAAGGAAATTCTTTAGATTAGCCTCTCCATCTCCGTCGACTGCGCGTATTTTGCGCAGCCACGTCTTCACATCATGCGAAGGTTCCAGCCAGCCGCGGAAGTGTGGGCGAACAATCACCTGGTGAAAGCAAAATTTTAATACATTTTTTTTTGTGAAATAAAGCTAAGTACAAAATAAACAAGTAAGAAAGTCTAAGTTCGGGCGGAGCCGAACATTAAATACCCGGCGCAAGTATTAAATATATATTTTTTCACCTTTACGAAACCTACCGCTAGATGGTAAGCCGGGATGTATCAATTTTGAGTAAATTAGCGTCCTAAAATTTCGAAATATTGCAGTTTCAAGCATTTCTGAAATATACCGTTATATGAAAAGCGGCCGTAATTTAAGTCCGATTTCAATAATTTTCAATGTTTTGCTTATATGTGGCAAGCACAATAACCATACCGAGTTTGGTACAAATTGGTAGAACGGTTACCGATATACATATATGTGATCATAAGTGGGCGGTGCCACGCCCATTTTCCAAAATTTTACCATTCACGTATTTCTTGGTAAAGAAATGTTGCAAGCATCAATTTTGAATAAATTAGCTTCAATATTTACTGATTTATCGAAGATTTTGTATTTCTCTAAATNGAAATTTAAAACAATTTGTTTTTAAGTCAAGCTTTTATTAGTGGTTAATAAAAAAAATCTACCCTCGCACCGGCTAAATTTGTTGTGCAGTTAGTTTTTTCCATTTAAGTATAATCCTTCTAAATTTGAAACAAATTGGACCGTAAGCACAGGTCTTCCAAATATCTCGACTCCTGCGCCATCTACCGGCTTAATTCATTTTTAAAACTTGCAGTGTCATCGGCTTGAAGTTAGAAGTCTCTATCTCATCGGAAAGTTGGTTAAAAATTGATTTCAAGATTTGATTAAACACATGTGAAACATAATAAAAGCTTGTAAAATTTACATAGTACTTCTCGAATATACATATTACATACATATCTATGTATGCACCTAGCCATAGGAATTCTCTATTCATTCATTCGAAATTTAGTACATATCGCAATATAATTATATCCGAGCGCACTTGTGCACAAGGATATATTAACTTTGTTCACATAACGGTTGTTTGTAACAGGCAAAACGAATCGAGATAGATATAGACAAATGTATACATAAATGATCAGNCCCATATAACGGTACTTTCGAAAAATGCAAGAACTATTGGATCCAAATTGTTGAAAATTAGTATGTGGAGTAGAATTTTGGTAAAAAATAATACCATTATGAAATTTTTGGAAAATGGGCGTGACCCCGCCCACTTATGATGAAATGCTGTATCTTAGTAGCCGGTTCACCAATTGTTACCAAATTCCTTGCTAGCGTCTGGCTAAAAGATCTGTTGAAAATCTTTGAAATCGGGCAATAACCACGCCCACTTCCTATATAACGGTACTTTCGAAAAATGCAAGAACTACCGTATTTAAATAAATATTAGATGCAAATAGTTGAAAAAATTGTGGTAAAAAATTATATTAATATAAAGTTTTTGGAAAAAGGGCGTGCCCCGCCCACTTATGAATCTCATCTCAGTAGCTGCTTCACCAATCGTTACCAAACTCGGTACGAGCCTTGCCTAGGATCTAACTAAGAACTTTTTTGAAAATCTTTGAAATCGGGAAATAATCACGCCCACCTGCTATATAACGGTAATTTACAGGAACACAAAAACTGCGATAAATCAGCAACTGCTCTGAAGCTAAATCACTTAAAATCGATGATTGCAATAACCACTTAGCATGAAACTAAATTATTATAAATTTATGGATAATGGGAGTGGCGCCGCCCACTTTTGACCACAAATGTGCATCTCGATAACGGATTTATGTATTAATTTCTACTAAACTGGGTGCTCTTAATTACCTCGGTACAGAAAACCATTTCGTTGAAAATTATTCAAATCAGATTAAAATTACACCCGCTTTCCGTATAGCGGTAAATTTCAGATATGAGACATTCCTTTTCATATCAGACACCAAATTTGGTGTCACACTTCCGATTGGCTTCAATTTTTTTTTTATGGGCTCTATACACGAAATAAGCTAATCCGTGTTCGAGGAATATTTTTTTTATTTGTTTTTTTCGGAGATATGATCTGTCAAAGTTTTAATTTTTTCGTGATTCTGACTAATCATGAAGTACTACAAATCGTTATATATCGGGTTCTGCGCATCGTAGAGAATTCATCTTAACGTCGTTTTAAAGCTAAAGAAACGGACTTAACATTTCTAAATAAAAGGTGGTCAAGATTTTTCTAAATCTAACTTAGTTATTAACAGCTCAACTTTTTGAAGATGATTTGCATAGTGAAGACCAGTAAATTAGGGATTTAAAATTATACCATCGTATTCCTTGTTTAATCTATATGTATAAAATAATAGCCGTTTTCGTTGTTCGGAGTTGACTCAAAAACTCCTGATAGATTTCAGTCAAATTTTCAGAGATTATACCCTGCATACATGGCCCATTATAGGCTATCAGAAAACTCGCTAGATGGCGCTGGTGTCGAGTTATTTATAAAAGTCGTATTTATCAACCGATTTCGTTCGTGTGCTACCTCCAAGATGGAAAATGCGCATGCGAAAAATGGACCCGCTAAGTGACGCTGGAGTCGAGTTATTTATAAAAATCGTATTTATGAACCGATTTCGTAAGCTACCTGCATGATGGAAAAAGCACTTGCGAAAAACGGACCCGCTAGGTGGTGCTGGAGTCGAGTTATTTATAAAAATCGTATTTATGAACCGATTTCTTTCAAATTCAAAATATATAGTTCTAGCATGATGGAAAATACGTTTACCAAAAACGGAGCCGCTAGGTGGCGCGGGAGGCGGGTAATTTATAAAAGTTTTATTTATGAACCGATTTCGTAAGCTACCTGCATGATGGAAAAAGCACTTGCGAAAAACGGACCCGCTAGGTGGTGCTGGAGTCGAGTTATTTATAAAAATCGTATTTATGAACCGATTTCGTAAGCTACCTGCATGATGGAAAAAGCACTTGCGAAAAACGGACCCGCTAGGTGGTGCTGGAGTCGAGTTATTTATAAAAGCCGTATTTATGAACCAATTTTTTTAATACAAATTCGAAACATTTATTACTGTCATGATGCTTTTTTTTTCATTTGAAACATATTACATACATAAAATGATAGCCATTTCTGTTTTGCGGACTAAACTCAAAATCCACTCAATAGAGCCCAGTCAAATTTTCGGAGGTTATGCCTTGCATATATGGTCCTCCTATAGGCTACTAGAAAACACGCTGGTGGCGCTGGAGTAGAGTTACTTATACCTGTATGATGAAAAATTCCTTTGCTAAAAATGGAACCGCTGGAGTTTAGGTATTTAGAAAATCCGTCTTTTTTATAAAATCTGATTGGAATTCATAATGCGTATTCATTTCTTGACAAGCAAAGGTTTTGCAGAAAAGGGACACAATGGATGACGCGGCAGCAGTGTTGTAGTAGCAAGATCATAGAAAAAGATTACGCATGCTTGGCAGAGATTTCACAGGTGGAAATAAGACCATCGATAAACCTCATGACACCGAAAGGGATTGGTATTCCAATGGTATCACCGCGTTACTATTATTGGCCTATGTGTAAGGAGGATACTGCGCCTTAGTGGTTTTAACTCAAACCAAAAATTTTGACTTTACAGACTATTTTTGCTTTTAAACGCTCTTTTGCATAGGCCAACGCAAAAGTTCTTATTAGGCGCCGCAAAGTAAGCGGGCATTGGCTAGTTCTCTATAAAAAAAACATGTTTGAGAAAATTGGGCATTTTGAAGAAGTATTTTTAAAATATTTTATTTTTTTTTACGACGAGATGCTGTTTTTGTGAGAGTCGACAATTTTTTGTAATTGGTTTTCGAAAACACATGATGAGATATATTTAGCAAGGTGTTAAACATCGGATTTTTGCAAGAGTTTAAATTTTATTGCAGATTCCGGTAGAATACCTATCCAGGTATAATATTTGTGCGGCAAGATTTTTCTGAAAGGGGACAAACCCCTAGAAATGGGCGTGGCAATTGCAGGAGTAAAATTAGCATTGCGCAGATTTTATTGTGGATTTCGGCTGAATATCGCTTCGTTAACAACATTTGTTCCACAACTTTTTCAATCAAAGAATATTCTAGAAATGGGCGTGGCTATATTAAAACCAAAGTTCAAAAATGTAGACTTCATTGTGGATTTCGCCAGAATATCTATATGGATTGAAAAAGTTGTGGAACAAATATTGTTAATGAAGCCATATTCTGCCGAAATCCGCAAACAAATCTGCGTTTTGCTAACTTTAGTCCTGCAATTGCCACGCCCATTTCTAGGGGATTGTCGCCTTAAAGAAAAATCTTGCCGTACAAGTATTATATCTAGATAGGTATGCTACCGGAATCCGCAATAAAATTATACGTTTTGCAAAAGCCCGTTGTTTAACACCTTAATAAATATATCTCAACATAAGTTTTCGAAAATAAATTACAAAAAATGTTTGATTCTCACAAAATAAACCATCTCATCATAAAATAAAAATATTTTAAAAATAGTCCTCCAGAAACGCCCATTGTTTTGGGACCACGTTTTTTATAGAGAATTAAACAAGGATTACGATAGTATAATTTTAAATCCCTAATTTACTGGTCTTCAAAAAGTTCAACTGTTAATAGCTAAGTTATCTTTGGAACAGTCTTGACCACCTTATATATAGAAATATTAAGCCCATTTATTTAGAGGGATTTAAAAAAATTTCCATCAATAACTTAAAGTTGTGATACACAATGGATAGAGGCGTTGCCTGTGGGCATTCTTTCATATATGTATGTATGTATGTATGTGCCCTTTTTACCGTTATATATTTTTTGTCTACTCGGTTATTCCATGGGGAATTTATGCTTTATTTAAACTTAAAAAATTAAATTACTACACCATTTTACTTAATTAGTGTGTACTCCAGTTTTGTTTTGTATACACTTCAGTTTTTACACATTGAATATATCTGCATATTTATATATTTACGCGTATCTATTTACATTTATTTATGTACAAGTCTACACAA